TCTGACGCCGTCGCGCAGCTCGCTGCCGAGACCGTTTCGACGGCCGCGACGGGGGGCGTGACGAGCGCCATGAGCAGGGGGATACGTGGTGGGCCCATGGGGGAAAAAAAAAGTAGGTCTTAGGACGACCTAGCTCTGATACCATGTCAAGATAGTAGGTTAAGTGAAAACTAGGGTTTGGGGTAGGAAGAGGCTTGGGAGAGGAACATGTCGAGAGAGTTTAGCCAAAGAGGATGAATTCACTATTGAGCGAGGTACAAATAGCAAACAGAACATGCAAAGAAGGTGCACCACCAACAGTTTATAATAACTACACTAAACTACAGCTACAGGCAGTTACAGATATATTCTAACACCGCACCATGCGGGATATCATTGATTTGGGGCAATCACACCTTACCTTGAAAAAATCAAATCCCGGTCTTTCTCACCCCTCTTCGTGCCCGCTGGAAAGTCACACATCACCAACACACCATCACTAACACATCGAACGATCAGTTTCCCTTGCCCGTTTTTTTTCGACGTCCACCGCTGGTTTGCAGGGCTGCCCGGGCTGCCAGTACAGTGATTCTGCGCACCATTAGCGCAGCTGCATACGGGCTTCTCCGAAGTGTCGTTTTCGGTTGATGCCATAATCTGGCCCATTTAATGCCAACCGAACACTCGGGCCCATTTTTCCGAAGTTTCACTGCAGCTACAGTCTGTTTTAGATCTGTTTCTTGGGGCCATTTTTGGGGGACCCGTTAAAGCCCGGGGTCAGCATGGTAAATTATCAAGTTATGTGGACTTGAAATAGGCTGTATGCGAGAATGGCGAAACTTATTTCGGTTGGCTGCCTTTGGCGAGAACAAGTATCCTCCGCTAACAAGTGAACATTTCGCACTCACCAAACCCGCGAATCCCACCAACCCAAAGCGACAAATGTGTCGCACACCTCCTCTCTTGCATCGAGCATGGAAAGTGTGGCTCACTCGAAGTCTCCTCACCACTGAATAAGCTTGATGCTAACGGGAAATAAAAAAAACAGAGCAAGCAACGCACGTGCTGGGTATCAACGCCACCTACTAAACGCCACAACAGAAACTTGTTCGAGACGATCCTTACCCCAGATTACTAGCTTACCGACTATCGCAGGAGCTGGCAACAGCAAAGTGTAGGAACGTGCAAGCACGGACGCTTGTACGGGAAAAAGTCCGTGACGACAGACTGGAGACTACGGTTAACTAGGCACAAACAAGAAACCGGCAGTGTATTGGAGTCGTTGTGTCTAGCCAGGGGGGAAGAAACCGGCGGAGATTCGGCTCTCACACCAAGCGCCGAGCAGCACCCGCTCGTCGCATTTAGGTGCTCGCGTTCTGTGCGACGCGGAGCCCGCATTCCTCGCGACGCGGAGCCCGCATTCCTCGCGACGCGGATCCCGCATTTCAGGCGGATCGGAGCCCGCCTTCCAGTCGACGCGGAGCCCTCCTTCCAGGCGACGCGGAGCCCGCGTTCCAGGCGACGCGTGGCCCGCATTCCAGGCGACGAGAAGCGCGCGCTCCAGGTGACCGGGCTACGACCACCGCGCGCACAACTAAGGCAAATACTGTGTACTGATGGGGAGCAAGGGGCAGCACACGCCCCTGCGGGTCGCTCGAGAGGAGAGCCCAGGTGAGTGCCCTATTCCCTGCTATTCGACTACAGTACAGCGACAATGGTCGCTGCTGCCTTGGGGGTCCTATCACGCTCACGTTTCACGAGGCAAAGGCAGCAGCAACCATCAACACCGGGTGCTGCTGCCTTGGGGGTCCTATCACACTCATGTGTCACGAGGCAAAGGCAGCAGCAACCTTCAACAATGGTTAGTGCTGCATTGAGGGCCCTATCACGCTCACATGTCACAAGGAAAAGGCAGCAACAACCTTCAACAACGGTTGCTGCTGCCTTGGGGGTCCTATCACGCTCACATGTCACAAGGCAAAGGCAGCAGCAACCGTCAACAACGGTTGCTGCTGCCTTGGGCATGCTGTCACCACTATGCTAGCAACTGTGCTGGCCCATTGCAGCAGCAACCAATGTTGCCCTGCCTTGGGCCTGCTGTCACCACAACCCACGCACCTGTGCTGGCCCAAGGTAGCAGCAACCAATGTTGCTGCTGCCTTGGGCCTGCTGTCACCACAATGCACGCACCTGTGCTGTCCCAAGGCAGCAGCAACCAATGCTGCTGCTGCCTTGGGCCTGCTGTCACCACAATGCACGCACCTGTGCTGTCCCAAGGCAGCAGCAACCAATGTTGATGCTGCCTTGGGCCTCCTGTCACCACAATGCACGCACCTGTGCTGTCCCAAGGCAGCAGCAACCAATGTTGCTGCTGCCTTGGGCCTCCTGTCACCACAATGCACGCACCTGTGCTGTCCCAAGGCAGCAGCAACCAATGTTGATGCTGCCTTGGGCCTGCTGTCACCACAATGCACGCACCTGTACTGTCCCAAGGCAGCAGCAACCAGTGTTGCTGCTGCCTTGGGCTTGCTGTCACCACAATGCACGCACCTGTGCTGTCCCAAGGCAGCAGCAACCAATGTTGCTGCTGCCTTGGGCCTGCTGTCACCACAATGCACGCACCTGTGCTGTCCCAAGGCAACAGCAACCAATGTTGCTGCTGCCTTGGGCTTGCTGTCACCACAATGCACGCACCTGTGCTGTCCCTAAGGTAGCAGCAACCAATGTTGCTGCTGCCTTGGGCCTGCTGTCACCACAATGCACACACCTGTGCTGTCCCAAGGCAGCAGCAACCAATGTTGCTGCTGCCTTGGGCCTGCTGTCACCACAATGCACGCACCTGTGCTGTCCCTAAGGTAGCAGCAACCAATGTTGCTGCTGCCTTGGGCCTGCTGTCACCACAATGCACGCACCTGTGCTGTCCCTAAGGTAGCAGCAACCAATGTTGCTGCTGCCTTGGGCCTGCTGTCACCACAATGCACGCACCTGTGCTGGCCCAAGGTAGCAGCAACCAATGTTGATGCTGCCTTGGGCCTGCTGTCACCACAATGCACGCACCTGTGCTGTCCCAAGGCAGCAGCAACCAATGTTGCTGCTGCCTTGGGCCTGCTGTCACCACAATGCACGCACCTGTGCTGTCCCAACGCAGCAGCAACCAATGTTGCTGCTGCCTTGGGCCTGCTGTCACCACAATGCACGCACCTGTGCTGTCCCAAGGCAACAGCACCAATGTTGCTGCTCCCTTGGGCTTGCTGTCACCACAATGTACGCACCTGTGCTGTCCCTAAGGTAGCAGCAACCAATGTTGCTGCTGCCTTGGGCCTCCTGTCACCACAATGCACGCACCTGTGCTGTCCCAAGGCACCAGCAACCATCTAAACATGCCATGCTATACCAGGAGATGCCCTGCCCTGCCCTGTCATGCCCTGGCTTGCCCTGTCATGCCCTTCCCTGCCCTGCCCTGCCCTGTCCTGCCCTTGTTTGCTACCCCTAAGCATGCCATGCCATGCCCCTCCCTGTCCTGCCCCGCACCGCCTTTCCCTCTGCCCTCTAAACAGGCCATGCCACACCAGGAGTTGCCCAGCCCTGCCCTGCCCTGCCCTGTCCTGCCCACTCACCTGCCCTGTCCTGCCCTGCTCTGCCCTGCCCTGTCCTGCCCTGCCCTGAACTTCTGTGCCCTGCCCTGTCCTGCCCTGCCCTGTCCTGCCCTGTCCTGCCCTGCAATGCCATGTCCTGCCCTGTCCTGCCCCGCCCCGCCATTGTCTGCACCCTCTATGCATGCCATGCCATGACTAGAGGGGCCATGCATGCCCTGCTTTGTCATGGCCTGCCCCGCCCTGGTCTGCTCCTTCCGCGACATGCCATGCCATGCCATGCCCTGCCCTGCCCTGCCATGGTTCTCCCCTGTCATGCCCCGCTCCGCCCTTCTCCCTTCCCCCCTCCAGGCATGCCCTACCCCTGCCCTGACCTGCCTTGCTCTGCGGATGAGATTATGGATCGCGACAGGCACACCACCCTAAACTCTGGCCTGTCCTCCTTCTCATTGGCTATAGTTGCAGGTTACCACTGTGAGAGGGATGAGGCTGAAACCCCATCGGATCAAGAGGATGATGTGGCAAATGCAGTGATAAGAGATGCGGAGGAGTGGAGCGACGATAGTGATGAGTGGTGGGTAGCAGGCCGCTATGACGGGGAGGAAGTGGATGTGTGGGTGGCAGGTCAAGATGAGTGAATGGGTTGTGTATCCATCCCCACTTAGGGTACATTCCTGTGGGGACACTTGTGTCTCAATCACTTTGTGACACCCAAAAACAACATAAACTGTGTTGTGTCCCAAATGCGAATCGGCTTTCGGCGACTTGTACTGTATTTATTATTGGTCAGCGTGAAACGCGCTGACATCGCTGTCGAATTGTGAAACGACCCGTCATTGTTAAAGAATCGCACGCGACTCGAAATGCCCGACACGACCACATGCACCTGGACATCCGAAAATGCCAATTTTGCGAGGGAAAAGATCCCGCGCATCGAAACCACGCCCCTGCTCGGAGGTTGAAAATACGGGTGTACTGTCACCCAGTCAAATGCACACACCTGTACATCTCTTTTTTATCCCCGCCAGTGAAACGTGTCCAACTGAACCTGCCAATATGTCGCCCTACATCGCGGTACATTCGATGTTTGTGACACAACATTGGGAAAATTAACAGGCGCGACTCGGGAAAACGGGGATTGAGACACAAGTGTCCCCACAGGAATGTACCCTTAGTGACATTGCTCTTGAACATGCCATGGAGGTGTGTTTTGTGGACTTAGCCGTTCTGTCCTAAACCTAATCATGATACCGTATTAGAGTAATAAACTGGCACATATTGTACGGTAGTTGTAGTTGCAATAGACAATGTAGGCAATTACACGTGCGACTGAAATTAGCCGGGTGGAACTACTCCAGTGCCGCATACGACAATTTATAATGATGCCAAACCCATTGGCAACCAGTAACATCCAAAGCGGCTCGCCAGTCATGGCGAGCGAAGGAATGGTGTGGGGCAGTCAGGAAAGAGCGGCAGGGCGTCAGGGTGCACCTCCCTGAACACCAACACTGTGGTGCTGCTGGCCAGGGCACTCAGATCCTGACAGGGTGGGGCAGGAAGGTGGAGATACGACAGGACACATCTCAGCATTCAGCCCAGACGTTCTCGACTCATCGATGCTGTTTGCACTTTTCGAACGTGAGCTTGTTCCTAAGTTTGCTGCCCTGCCCCCTAGTTGCACCTGCGTACCCCCTCCTCCTTCCGGATGTGAATGCAATCCAAAAAGGTCTGCAAGTAGTTGGGTGGAGACAGGAAGGGGGGGGAGAATGGTCACTGAGCTTGCACACAAATCTGCTGCGCTGCCCCACTGTTGCGCATGCATCCCCCCTCCTCGCTGCGCAGCCACATGGGGAGAAAACGGAGAGGCACATGGGGAGGGATTGGAGCGGCCTGTATTGAGGGATTGGAGAGGCACATGGGGAGGGAGGGGAGAGGCACATGGGGAGGGACAGGAAAGATGGTGAGATAGAGGGAGAGGAGGGGCATATGGGGTGGTCGAATGCTCACCTGGTGTGTGAGTCTCACCTCTAAGAGGGTGGGGGTAAGCAGGACGGAGGGTGGAGGGAAGCAGGGCAGAGGGATGGGGGAAGCATTGCAGAAGGAGGGTGGGCTACTGGGCGGAGGGAGGGAGGAAGCTGGGCGGAGGGAGGGAGGAAGCTGGGCGGAGGGAGGGAGGAAGCTGGGCGGAGGGAGGGAGGAAGCTGGGCGTAGGGAGGGGGGAAACTGGGCGGAGGGAGGGAGGAAGCTGGGCGTAGGGAGGGCACAAGCTGGGCGGAGGGAGGGAGGAAGCTGGGCGGAGGGAGGGAGGAAGCTGGGCGGAGGGAGGGAGGATGCTGGGCGTAGGGAGGGGGGAAGCTGGGCGGAGGGAGGGAGGAAGCTGGGCGTAGGGAGGGGGGAAGCTGGGCGGAGGGAGGGAGGAAGCTGGGCGTAGGGAGGGGGGAAGCTTGGCGGAGGGAGGGAGGAAGCTGGGCGTAGGGAGGGGGGAAGCAGGGAGGAGGGAGGGGGGAAGCAGGGAGTAGGGAGGGGGGAAGCAAGGAGGAGGGAGGGGGGAAGCAGGGAGGAGGGAGGGGGGAAGCAGGTGTGGCAAAGGAGAATAGACTGGGGGGTAAGTAGAGCTGGTTGAAGGAAGGGAGAGAGACCGTAGTGAGTAGAAGAGCGAGAGGGATTCGGCACAATAGAAACAGACGGGGAAAGGGAGAGGTGGGATGGAAGGCGTGGACAGCAGGCGGCAGGCACAAGGGGGAGCAGCATTGCGGCAGAGTGTGAGAGAGCGACGCTCATCACTTGTGCCAGGGGATCCAGTAATCTAAGAACTTGAGCATGCGCGTGCGTGTTGCTGCGCACCGCGTAGAGATCGCCGTTGGCGCGCGAGTTGGCATCCCAGAGAATCGCACGATCAGTGAATACCACGTCGTACCCCAGTGCCAACAAGCTCCGCACCACGTGCACCTTCTGCCACACCTGCGCGCGGATGAGAAGGGAAGGATTTGAGGTGGTAAGGTGGGAAGGCGGTAAGGTGGGCAGGCGGTAAGGTGGAAGGGAAGGGGATGGGGGGAGGCAGGGAAGGGGATGGGGGGAAGCAGGGAAGGGGATGGGGGGAGGTAGGGAAGGGGATGGGGGGAGGCAGGGAAGGGGATGGGGGGAAGCAGGGGAGGGGATGAGTGGAAGCAGGGGAGGGGATGGGGGGAAGTAGGGGAGGGGATGGGGGGAAGCAGGGGAGGGGATGGGGTGAAGCAGGGAAGAGGATGGGGGGAAGCAGGGAAGGGGATACGGGGAAACAGGGAGGAGGATGGGGGGATGCAGGGAAGGGGATGGGGGGAGGCAAGGAAGGGGATACGGGGAAACAGGGAAGGGGATGGGGGGAAGCATGGGAGGGGATGGGGTGAAGCAGGGAAGAGGATGGGGGGAAGCAGGGAAGGGGATGGGGGGAGGCAGGGAAGGGGATGGGGGGAGGCAGGGAAGGGGATACGGGGAAACAGGGAAGAGGGTGGGGGGATGCAGGGAAGGGGATGGGGGGAAGCAGGGTAGGGGATGGGGGTTCGAAACGCTGTTCGATTGGGGTGGCGTTGGCGACCATCTCTGTTCCTCCCCATCTGTTCCTCTCCCTCTGGAGTTGGTGAGATGGGGAGGGGGGAAGAGCGGATGGAAACGCTGATGACGAGGGGAAGCGCGAGTGACTGGGAGGCAAGGGCGACGACGGGACGTGCGAGCGACGAGGGGAGGCGAGGGCGGCGAGGGTCGGCAAGGGTGATGAGGGGAAGCGTCAGCGACGAGAGGGAATGTGGGCGGCGAGGATCGGTGCGGGTCGACGAGGGTGATGAGGGGAGCGCGGGTGACGATCTGAAACGCGGTATGTCTACTATCAACGATTGCGACGAGGGGATGAGTGAGTAACGTGGGAAAGCGCGGGCGACTAGGGGAACATATGCGACCAGAGGGTAGGCGAGGGTGATGAGGGAAAGCGCGGGCGACGAGGAACGCTGTCTGACGTGGGAAAGGGCGGCCGACGAGAGGGAACATATGCGACTAACGGCAGCGTGCGTCACGCGAAGCAGTACAGTATTCGCGTGAACGACCCGTGCCTAAAACAGGTACGGTTGTGACACGAGCCTGAACCGTAGCAAGTGTGAGAAGGGCCTGCGTAGGCGACGCGAGCTTGAATGCGCGACGCGAGTAACGCTCAGATCGTTCACTAACGCAAGTGCCGCGGGGGAAGGGGTTGTAACACGAGACCGGTGACGAGAGGGGGAGGTCGGAGCGTGCACTGACTAAGATGGTTGGGGTGGATAGTTATCTTTCTTTCCGCACAAAAAAAAACCCTATAAAGGACTCGCTTGTGCCAACTAACACTAGTTTTGCCTCGGAGCCTCCTAGTCTATGAGTTCTACTTGGTAAGCAAGTTATGTGAGTGGTGAACAGTGCATCTGGTTGGCGATCATCGCGTCAGTTCTGTTTTTGGCAAATCGGGTTCCTTTGTCGCAGGACGATTGCCTGGGCTCGCGAGAGTTTCATCAAAGAAAGTAGGGTAACTCTGTTTTCGGCGATTTCAAGTTCAAGAATCTTGAACTTGAAAATTACATGCTGTACTCAGGCTTTAAAGTCTGATATCTAGGGCCCTGGGTCCAGGGTGGTCGTTTTACTATAGCCCATCCGGGGTCGTTTCACTATTTTAGCTGCAGGCTTTAATGCTTGCCGAACCAGGCCCTGAACCTTTTAGTAACCTCTGCACATCTAGCATCATTTCTCCAAGCCCAAAAGTCTCATCTTTTCTACCCTTGTTTGGGAGTAACACACCGGAGATTACAGTCGCGATGCGAGCCAGTTGCAGCTCTTTCCCCAACCAACCTTCCTACGTTTCAAACCTATGAACCTCGGGTTTAAAGTCCCAGAACTACCTTAGGTTTGTCCTGTGGCCGTTATATCATTCCCTATTTTTACGAATAGCAATGAATGCGCTGGCGCAGGACAGGGCGCTGGCGCAAGGCAGGGCGCTGGCGCAGGGCAGGGCGCTGGCGCAGGGCAGGGCGCTGGCGCAGGGCAGGGCGCTGGCGCAGGGCAGGATGCCGGCGCAGGGCAGGGCGCTGGCGTAGGGCAGGGCGCTGGCACAGGGCAGGGCGCCGGCGCAGGGCAGGGCGCTGGCGCAGGGTGACGCCAGGCAGGGCAGGGCAGGGCGTGTGCTAGGCAGCGCGACGCGGGGCAAGGCAGGGCGTGCGCGGGGCAGCGCGACGCAGGGTAGTGGGGTAACGCGGAAACCGCAGTCGGAAGCTAAGTATGGTGGGCCCGAAAAAAAAACGGTCCTACGGACCTACTGATCTGATACCATATCAAGATAGCAAGCAGGAATGGTTGCATTGAATGAAATGTGGGTACAAGTACTAACCCTAACTTCGGGTTGTACCCCATATGGGCTACCCCACTATAGCCTACACTGAACTAACACATATATAGTTTGACAGGTCCGGCCGACAAGACGCACGAGGCGACGTGCGTCCAGCCCAGTGGTATCAACCCCCACCCGCGCGCAACCTGAACCCAGCAGTTCAGCATCAGCAGCAGCAGCCGTCATCGACTGCCCCAGTACGCAACGCCATGAGCAACATGGCCATGACGGGCGAGTCGCATCGTCGCCGCGTGCGCTCACCTTCATCTGAGCCAGCACCGCACCCCATTGGCACGTTCTCCAACAACAACCCGTTCAGTTCGCGTCGCGACTTCACCGACGACGACGACCAGGACTGGAATCTTCCAGTCCCGCTGCTTGAAAGTCCCCCGCACGTACTTGATATGCGGGTGGCACCACTCGACTGGCTCTCTCGCGAGCAATTTCTGAAGTTCGACACCCCGCACATCGCCACGCCGCGACTGGCGTTGCTCGCACGTGATAACAACAAGCGTTACAACACCTGGTACCTGGACAGCTGCTGTGGCCAGCATATGGTGGGCTCCGAGCGTTACATATCCAACGCCGTCGCCACCCCCACAGTCACCTACGTCACCGTGGCCAACAACACCCGCCTGCGCGCAAGCGCGCAAGGCATCGTCGTGCTCAAGGCACGCGGAATCCGCATCACATCACGCTCAATGATGTGCTGATCGTCCAGAACCTACGCTTTAACTTGCTTTCCGCCGCACAGCTCATGGACTGCAGCGTTAATCTCAGCACGAACCGCACAACACGCGACATCCTGCTGCACTACGAATCAAGGACTTTTCCCCGCAGGCAGATTGGACGAGCGCACTCCGAAAATGGAGTGTACGTCCTGGATTTTGACATCCCCGACTGCAGCGGCGATTCGCACGAGCTAATCGACCTCGTGCCACTGCGCTTCGAGCATATTCACCGCAGGGACTGGAAGCACCTTGACGGCAGACCGTGGGTGCCGCATCATCCCCACCCACGCGAAACAACGCTACACGACCCTGACGCAGATGGCATCTGCAGGGATTGTCACACGCCAACGGCGTCAACTAGCGCCATCGCCGGCCGCGGACTTGCCGCCATCGCCGAAGCCGAGCGGCATGCGCCGCCAGAGGAAGGAATGTCACAGCTAGAGCTTGAAGTCGCCACGCAGGGCGTGTTCGGCACGCCAGAACACCCTCTTATCGGACCCCCCTCCCAACACCTGCAAGGAATGCTGCGCGGTACTGGCGTCAGATCCTTTGATGCGCATGGCGTGCCGCGACCCTACACCTACGAGAAACTTTTGGAATTTTACCATCATCAACGCGACCCGTTGAAGAAACTTACCGTGGAGCAAGAAGAAGAACTGGCGCGGCGCGAAGCTGAGAAGCTTCGCCAGCAAAGCCTCGCCGAAGTGCGCGGGACATTCCCTTGCGGCGCATGGGGAGCCGAAGCGGAAGAAAGCGCCTCCAATGAAGGGGGGTGGGGGAGCGCTGGTGGATGGGGAACGAGTGATAACGGCGGATGGGAAACAAGCGGCGGAATCAGGGCCAACGCAAGCGGAGGATGGGGCGCCGCAACTGTCGCCGACACCAGCGGCTGGGGGACTTTCCGCGAAGAACAAAAGGGGGGAGAGGATGAAGCAGAGGAAACTGAGGCAATACCTGCAGTTGTTCCTCTTGGTCGTCCCCCGCGCCGCGCTCCACTCGCATTACCTCCTCCTGACAACCCACCGCAGCGCGACCCCTGGGACACCATCGACTGGGGCAACGAACTGTCAACTCCGCGTCGCACTGTCTACGGACCTGCTCCCGAGTCGCGCGAACCGACCTTTTTCCCTGGAACTATCCCGGGGACTAACATCCCCCTCTCTGAGATTCGCGACAGAGAGTTTCTGGCACGAATGCAGACTACCGCCAACGACGAAGATGAAGCAGCAGAAGAAGCACCAGTAGCACCTGCCCCTGTACCTGATGAGGATCCCGAAGAAGCTCGCGCACGCTACATGCGCACTTCCAGCTTTCGCGCTGACGATGCGCTCTGGCATCAGCGTCTCGGACATCCTTCGCGTGCGACACTGAAGAACTGCATCGACGCAGGAGTCTTCGCTCCTGGGGCGCTGCTACGCCCAGACGGCACCAAAGTGAGAGGCATGACACATCCGCGCAACTGCACCGTCTGCCCCGAAGCTGCGCTAAGCCACCAGCCGTACCCGCTGCTCGAGCCAGGGACGAACCGCTACCCCAAGCTGTACAAGGTGTACAGCGATTTCCTGAACGTGGGGCACTGCGGAGTCGACGACGAAATGTACACGCTTACCTTCATCGACGCCGGGACGCGCTATGTGTGGATCGTGAATGTTGAAACACGTGACAGAGCCTATGAGGTGTTCCGGCTCTGGCTTGCGCACGCGCAGCGGCAATCCGGGGAAAAGCTGAAAATCTGGCAATCTGACGGCGCAAAGGAATTCAGGAGCAATCAGATGCAAAGTTACCTCGCCCAAAAGGGGATCGAGCACCATATTTATCTCCCCTACGCACACCAGCAGCAGGGCGTAGCTGAGTGGACGAACCGCACGCTGATGACGAAGGTGCGAGCATTGATGAAGCAGTCAAAACTGCCGCCGATCTACTGGACTTACGTGATGCACCACGCTGTGCGGGTGCACAACTTACTGTCAACTACCACCATCACCGGCAACCCGTCCCCGCATGTGAAGTGGACCGGGGCCAAGGGGGACACGTCCATGCTCCGCGTGTGGGAGTGCATGGTCCAATACCGCCCGCCAACGTCAACCTCGGCATCAGCCACGAGCACAAGGCATGGATCGTGCTGGACCTACTCCGTCAGAAGACCACCCACGCTCGCGACGTGATTTTCTACGAACGCCTCTTCCTCGACCAGTTCCGCCACGACGAGCAGACGAATGCAAACCGTGTTTATGCAAACGATGGGCACACCTACGCAACGCCCGAGGACGAAGCTGCGGCAGCAATCCTGGAGCAGGACACTAGGGGCGAGTTTACACGAGGAGATCGCAGCAGCGACGACGACGACGACGACGACTCCTCCGGAGGAGGAATGGGCGGAACAGGCGGAAGCGGCAGTGGCACAGCACCACCTGCACCACCTGACCAGAGAGCGATGATGACGATGTGCAGGAAGTCATCCCGCAACGTCGCCACGACATCACCGTTTCAGGATTACAGCTGCTCGGGCTTCACACCGCAACCTCGAAGGCGCCACGTGTCATCGAGCCGCGAAACCCGCGCCAAGCCCTCACTGGAGCACACAGCAAAGAATGGCGTGAGGCGATGGATGCGGAAATCAAGGCGCTCGAATCCCGAGACACCTGGGTGTTGGTCGACAGTGCGGCAATCAAAGGTGCAAGAGTTCTTTCGGGCAAATGGGTCTTCCGCGTGAAGACCGCAGCGGACGGAACGATCGAGCGCTTCAAGGCGCGTTGGGTGGTACGCGGATACGACCAAAGGCACGGCATCGACTTCGACCAGACGTTCGCCCCAGTCAGCCGTCACACCTCCGTCCGAATCCTGCTCGCCATCGCAGCCGCAAGGCACCTGCCTCTCCGCCAGATCGACGTGAAGAACGCGTTCTTGTA